CCCCCCCAATACATCTTTCTGGTCGCAGACAGCCTCATCTCCTGCAGAGCCGCGGGTGTTTGACCCACTTGAACCACCACCCTTGTGGTTAATAGTCCACCGCTTTCTCCTCAGTGCCACCAGGGCTCCTACCCTAAAAGTGACAGCCGAGAACACCCTATGGGGGCAGTTTTGCTCTGTCACCTTTGGGTTGTCATGAGTCAGCTGGGTGGCACCAATAACAAGGTACAGGGCAGGTCACACAGCTGAGCTGCCGCTTCCTGGAGGAAGCCCCCCCCATGCTGGGTTATGACCCTCTTTGATCACCATGGAGACCCAGCTGGCTTGGAGGTGCAGGAAAGAGTCTCCCCCGCCCCCGCCTGTCTGCTCTGAACTGCCACTTTCAAGGGACAGGTCTGCGTCACCCATGGGGCTGTGGGTTTCATGATGACAGGCCCTTGGTGATGGAACTTGCAGTGGTAGGAAGTGACCACTCAACTTCCTCTTCTGTAAGATGGAGCTGAGGAAATCACCCACCTTCTAGGGTTTTGGGGGGATAATTGGCTGCACCCTTAGTACAGTGTTAGGCAACTTTCACCCTCCAGAGGCCAGGCTGCTCTTGTTCATGGCCTTAATCCGTTCGCCTTTCTCCCACTGTGGGTACCTCCTTCAGGAAGCCCACTTGAATTCCAGCCTAAATCAAGAGTTGCCCCTGGACTTCCTTGGCCTACCCCTGACCACTCTGGGTCATTCATGTGTGTGTGTGGGAGCAGGCCTATCTCTCCACTGGGCTGCGAACTTCAGGAGGGCAGGTCCCCATGGTGGTGGTAACTGCTTTGTCCCCACCCTGCCCAGCTGTGGGCTGTACACAGCTCAGGCAGTTGGGGAAAGTATGAATAAATGAGAGACATTAGCTGGGGGGAGGAAGGGGATGTATTAACATCCCCCCCTGCCCCCCAGGGGAACCAGCAACAGAAATGTGGATGAAGGGAAACAGTGGATTGGTGTAAGATATCAAAATAATAATTTATAATTTGTCATGTATTCACGAGATGGGAGGGAGAAAAAGAGGAGCTGATACCAAGGGCTCTAGTAGAAAGAAAATGTTTTGAAAATGATGATGGCGACCTATGTACAAATATGCTTGATACAATTGATGGATGGATTGTTATAAGAGCTGTAAGAGCCGGCCTGTCTGGATAGGACAGGCTGGATGAACAATCTGGAGGAGAAAACAACGGGACTGACAGTTCCGGGGGGACATGGGAGAGGGGGAGGA